TGGGGGGTCAGGTCAGGACCCCCCCCCCTTGCTCCCCTCACTGGTCCCCTACTCCTTCTTGTTGCCCCACTTGGCCATCTTGTTGTTGATGGGCATCTTCAAGAAGCGGCTGGACTTCATGTAGGCAGCCACCTTCTCCAGGGCCTGCGGGGGCAAGGGGAGCGTCAGGGACCCGTCCCACCGGGGCACCCCCCACCCCTGGGTGCCCTCAGGGGCCGGGGTCCTTCCCCAGGGGAGTGGAGGGCAATGCCCGGGATGGCCCAGCTCACCCCAAAGCGGTCCATGAAGTCCTTGAGGTTCTTGAAGGGCTCCAGGCACTTGGGCTCGAAGATGCGGTTCTGCTCCAGCACGTCGAACATGAGGAAGTCGACGAAGGTGAGCTGGGTACGGGGAGGGGGACACGGTGAGGACACGGGGACAAACCCCCTCCCCAGCCCCCACAGCCCCTCTCCAGGGTCACGGTTGTACCTTCTCCCCTGCAAACCACTTTCTGTCCCCCAAGAAGTTGGAGAAGAGCTTCAGCTTCCCCGGGAGCTGCTCCAGGTAGCCTGGCTTGAGCTTCTCCTGCAGGAGGAAGGGGTGGAGGGGTGAGGCTGGGCACCCTGGGCCCCCCACCCCGGGGGACAGCACCTTCCCTACGTGGGGTCCCCCACGCTGATGCAACCCCAGGCACGGCCAGGGAGGACCCCAGCATGGGCACCAAACCCTGCAGAACAGGGACACTCACGAAGTCGGGGTTGTAGCAGACCATCACCAGGCTCATGCGGAAATCCATGATCTGGTTCTCCAGCATGTCCACGCGGAGGATCTCCTCCTCCGTCTCACCACCTGCGGGACAGGGAGACGTCAGCGCTGGGGGGTGCCCCCCAACCCAACCTAACCCCAACCCCAGCCCAACACAACTCCAACCCCAAGCCCAGCTCTATTCCAAGCCCAAATAACTCCTAGGCCAAGCCCTACCCAACCCTACTCCAAGCCCAAGCCCAACCCAACTCCAACCCTAAGCCCAACCCCAATCCTAAACCCAACCCCAACCCCACTCCAATGCCCATCCCAACCCTCCTCCAAGCCCAAGCCCAACCCAACTCCAAGCCCAAGCCCAACCCAACTCCAA